ACACAGGGGTCTCTTCTTCTTGGTTGATTCATGCTTCATTTCCTTGGAAGTCATGAATATCTTTAATTCTTTCAAGAAATTGTACAAGTTGAATTGGAAAAAGTACTTTATATGGTTAGGTACATATTTGAATGTAGTATCTGATGAATTAGCGGAGAAATTTTAAGTATAAGGAATAATACAAAATAGTTTTCTTTACAAGTAGTGTAGACTACCAAAGTTAGAAAGGTGCAATAAATTCTGCTATCAGTAAGGATTACAAGTAGTATGATGATGCCTCTCATACCGGTATGAGAAGGGTATTGGTGTACGAAGAAAAAGAGATGAGCTATGTTACAAGGAAGCTTTCGATTTAAGAAGAATTTTTTTTGTGTTATGAGTAAAAGTTAACAAATAATGTACTTGCTTGAAGACAGTGGCAAAGTGTTGGATCAATTGCATTGATAATAAAGAAGGAAAAGCTTGAAGTGTTGGCTAAATTAAGATGAGCTATGTTACAGGAAGCTTCGATTTAAGAAGAATTTTTTTGTGTGTTATGAGTAAAAGTTAACAAATAATGTACTTGCTTGAAGACAGTGCAAAGTGTTGATCAATTGCATTGATAATAAAGAAGGAAAAGCTTGAAGTGTTGGCTAAATTAAGAAATGGAAATTAAAACAAGGAAAAAGAATAATTATTAATAGAAGAAGAAAATAGCACAATGAATGCAGAGGTAAAGTTAAAGTTTATTTTGTTTAGAACAAATGAAGAATATAAAAGTATATATTAAGGATATAATAGGAAAACGGGGATAAAATTTAGAATTATAGGATATGTTTAAGGTAGTAAAGAAATAAGAAAGTATTTTCACTTTGGAAGTAAAGAATCAATTACGACAAGGGTTATAAAGAGGTATGGAGGTTCGGGGATGAACCAAACAGCCTCTGGAGAAAAACCGTTGTTGCAAAGTACGGGTATGATCATGGTTCGTTGATTCCCTCCAAGCTCCCAACAAATAAAATGTCTTGGATTTGGAGGAACGTGGTTCGGCCTCTAGATAACGTCGACGATCCGCTACCTAAGAATCTGAGGATCGCCGTAGGAGATGGAAAGTCAACGGATTTCTGGAACGACCATTGGACCGAAGTGGCGTCGCTAAAGTTGGCATTTCCAAGAATTTTCGAATTAGTCATTAGAAGAGAAGGGATGGTGGCTGACTTTGGTAAAAAAAAAAAAATCAACGGGAGATGGGTTTGGAATATAGAGATCAGGAGACTTTTGTACTCATGGGAATTTAGTGTATGTGACGAATTCATCCGAACCTTAGATCAAGCAGTAAGTGGAAGTATGGAAAAGGACACAATCCGATGGTTGTGGTCCTCTAGTGGAGTGTATACTCCCAAAGCTTTTCGTTCGATCTCTGTATTTGTAGAAGAGGAGCATGATAAATTTTGGAAATTAGTCTGGTCAAATTCATCAGTTCCAATGGTTGAGTTCTTAGTTTGGCGAGCAGTACTACAGAGGCTTCCGGTGCTTGAAGAGCTAGGCAAGCGAGGAATTGTTAATTTGGAGGCTTGTGTTTGCGAGTTGTTCCATAAGGAAAGAGAGCCGGCTAATCATCTGTTCTTTCAGTGCGAAACCGTCTGGAGAGTATGGATGAGATGGTTTTCCCTTTGGAATATCCATGTTGTGTGTCCAGGGGATGTCCGAGCATTCCTGTTGTCCTAGAACGGACTGCCGATCTCAAATTTGAGTAAACCACTATGGAACCTTGCTTTCTTTGGAGTATTCTGGTCTGTGTGGTTGTGTAGAAATGACGTAATGTTCAACAAGAGTACCTATAGTGAAGAAAAATTACTCTGAGGCGATTATAGGAAGGATTGTGTTGTTGGTGCAATTGAAAGTGGCCTGGGTTGTATCCTTCAATAAGCTTCTATAGGAGAGAAATGAAAGAGTTCATAATAAAGGCACGTGCATGACAGGAGCGTTAGTTAGGGTCCGTTTTACTGTCAAAGCTTCCAAGTGAAAGTAGTCATCGGGGAACAATAAGGATGAGAGAAGGTGAAGCCTTGCGGTTTGGAACAAGGTCTGGTAAAAAGGAAGTTGTTCAGAAAGGCTTACGGTTGACTAGTGTGTTGTTAACGAATTTCCTGCTTTTTCGTAAGGTTAGGGCCACCTTATGTTGTTACATGGTGGATGAGTATGTGTGAAAACAATATCATTGGGTGGGGGCCATGGTGTGATTGAATACAGCTGCAAAGTGGTCCAATGTTTGGTGATTTGGTCAGCATTAGTTATGCACCTTCCGAGTGATGGTGGGTATGGAGGTTTGGGATCTCATTGTAGTTGCTGGTTGAGGCTCGTTTTGGGTCTTATTAGGCGCTGGACAGACGTGAGGACTGCTCGATGCATTTGTTTATGAAAGGAGTGTCATTTCCAATTAAGTGAAGATTGCAGCTTTCAACACCGAGTATCCTGGTTTCCTAGAATAGTTGCGTTGTTTGAAGTCGCTAGGTCATGGATTGTGTTCTGTTTGGTTTTTTCAGAACGATGGTAGACTCTCTCCGTTTTGGATAGTCCCATGCTCGCTTACTCTAAAATTTCATGCGTTGTTTCCGATTTCTGTTAGTGTGTTATGCTCATGGCTCTTATTACCTTGGCACTGTCGAGTACTATTGTAAGTATTTTAGTTGTTATTAGTTAGCTGCTGGTTGTCGGTGTTGTATATTCGGATTGGTGTCGTCGCTGGCAGTGTAGGGGTCTGGGTGTTTTATGCCTCTGTGTTTCACTGATGGTGGCACTACTTAACATATAGCTTGTGGCTTGTGGATTCTGATTTGCATTGGTGTGCCTTAGATGTTAGTCTCGTGTCTGTGGTGCAGAAATGTATCCCTTCCCATCTTTGTTGTATTGGTAGTTGAGCCTAGTGGTTCTAATTCGAGCATGGACTATAGTTGATGTACCAGGATGTAATGCTGCAGATCTAGTTTTGGTGCTGTAATGTGAAGTGTTGGTTTGGCTTGGCTTTAGAGCGTACAACTGCTGGATTGCCTCCTAGTCCCTCGGGTTTGATGCGTTTCTGCTGCTTCCTAAAGTTGCAGAATTGACTTTTAATAGGGTTATCTCGTGCCAAGTTGAAGCATGACTTTGTTGGTGCAATTATCTATGGCTTTGCTTATGGTTGTGGTTGGTCTGTTTAGTGTGTGTTTCTTTGCTTTGATTTTCTCCTTTGTTCCACAAGATCATGGTACACTATTTTTCTTCCAACTAGGTTTAGGGAGGTTTTTTAACGAGATCTATGATTTTATCTATGGATTGTATTTGTAAACATTTATACAAAATCTCTTTCAAAAAAAATTAATTAAAGTTTGACGAATTTAAATTTGATTCGAATTTTTAATAATTCTAAACAAGTTATTGGATAATGACATTGATATTTATATGTTTGTTTCTTATTTTTTTTAATATATGTTGTAATTTTTAAATATAACATAATTGTTTTTATATATTTAGAGTTTAGATTTGAGTTTAAACTTTAATTGAACTGAAATTTAGGATATTATCTTTTATTCTTTTATTTTGAACTCAAATCTAAGTCGATAATTTTTAACCTATAAATTTTCGATTCAGAGTTAAGAATCTCAAACTCCACTTTAATTAGATGGTTTACAGCCTTAAAGTAAGTCGTGGGTTAGATGCTACTGCAAATACATAAATGATTTGTTTTAGACATCGTATGATCCGATCTTGAAGCAAGCAATTAGTTTGGCTTGGGGTGTGAGTCGGTTCTGAAAAGATGTCATGAATATAAATAAACACCTTGCACTTGCACTACATATCTCAATTTCTCATTTCATGTTCCATCAAATGCTTAGCAGCTAACTACTGTATCCAACCTTATCCCTATTCTCCTTTTTCTTTTTCTTCAATCAATTTGTTTTAAAGCAAAGAGAATATATAGAAAAACGATAGTGTACAAATTTGATATTTTATATATGAAGTTATTACTAATTTGTTTTTACAAATACATTATCAAATTTAATAAATATAATCCATATGTCCGCTTTTATATAAAAGTTATGTGTTACTATGCAAGTAGTTTTTAAATAATATATAATAATTATGAAGTAATATTAATTTAATATATTGATAATATATATTCTAGTGTCATAATTATTCAAATTTAAATCTTTTAAAATAATGAAGAAAAAAAATTTAATCAGTGAATTCACTAAATAAGTTTGCTAGGAGCGGTTCCGGAACACTCTCAAACAGTCATTCAGAATATTTCACATTGTACATCCAAAGCTTTCGTCTCCTTGTTTTTGTTTTAAACGCCATGCAACTTATTATGAAGAATTACACAAAGACACTCACTCGGGATTCAGGACACCTTGAACTAGTAGAGAAAATCAATTACAATCAAAAGAGAACATGTACCGTGTGGATCTCCACGGCTTGAAAGTTCCGAATCGCAAAGCCATGAGAAAAATTTGCGGTTCACCATGAAAGTTGTTTTATAGGTAGAGGAGAGGAGGGAAGCTAATCACGCATCTCTGGATCTGATTGATCCGACATCATTCTCGGTATCACTCCTGCAGGTAGTAACGATCTCAGCAAACCAAAGAAGTGAATCACTTGCTGATACTTCCGATTTGTCTGAGCCGGCATTCTGACGAAGATCGATCACACAGGATGATGATATGACAATCAGAGCCTCAGCTGCAAGTGCCACGGAAACACTCGTAAGTCCTGGAGACTGCTCGACTTCGCCATGTAACAAGTTGGAAGGCTTCGTAGGGTTGTTTTCAACAGACTTGTAATCCAAGGTATCCCTAGTTCCCATTTCGGTGTTCACTGGCATCTCCAAGTCTATCCTAGCAATCCTCACATTGGTGGTCCTTACAGAAAAGGATGTTAACTGAGTATCTTCTATCCCCTTTTCGGCAGCACACAAATTCAAATCAATGCGTCCAGCATTAGCATTTGGATTATCTGAACTTGTATCTGCAGCCGACAAAGGCCCTCGAGTCGTATCAGAGTTAACACCATCAATTGCAGAAGCATGAGAACTCGGCTTTAATGGCGTGCGAAGGCGGATCTTGGCATATATTTTCAGAAACAGAGAAACCAAGAAGCTTTGTACTGCTTGAAGAATAACTAGTATCACTTTTCTGATGCTTTGGATCATCAACACTAGATGTAGGCAAGGAATCCCGGATTCTCATTTCAGTTCTGTCAATAAACTGCTGAGAGGAGTTTTGCAATGAATTAAAATTCATTTTAAGAGAACCTTCGACATCTTTGTTAGGTTTCACATAACTAGGTCTTGGAGCCCTTAACCAAGACAATTCTCCATTTGAGTTCTGATTTATGGATCCATTAACAGAAGCAAAGTCTGATCGAGAAATTTCTTCAATCTCATAACCGTCTGCAGCCATTGTGCCTGCATTTAGATCGATTGTGGACTTTTCCCCCATCATCCAAGGTAGAGAACTTGGAAGAGATCTTGAATTGCTATCAACAAGCAATTTGCCCCTGATAATGTCATGGTCCTGCAACAAGGCTGTTGAGGTAGTATTCAGCTGGCCATAGGTCCGAGAGCCATTTTGGCTCAAGTTACCATTAAATATAGCCCGACTTGAGACAGAGAGTATCTCAGAATGAGCTGCATCTGACCAAGAATGAACAGACATCGGATCAAGTCCATGTGATGTAACAGTAGACACACCGTTACTGTTTTCAGGTATTTCTATGCCAAAAATTTTCCGTTTTCCAAACATTCCTCTCTTATTCTGATTAAATGAAAGAAACATTGCAGGTCGGGCCTCAATAATTTCAGCCTGTACCGATTAGCGTTGGGCATGCAAATCTTCAGGATGAAAAACTTCCATTGCTTATAGGTTGTCCTGAAAGAGAGTGGCATATTAAAGGATGTAAATACTTTTAATAGATAAGAACTGAACGTCAAAAGAGTCATCAAAACATAGCTACATTACCATTTTCAAATTTATTAGAGAACTCTCCTCCATTTTGCCTGCTTTCAACCTCCAAATCTTGGAGAACTTCTACACCCCTTTGGTTGAAGCCTAGAAGCAGCTGTGACATAGACGATCCTTCCTTTGGACCTCATTTTTTGAGCTACTAATGTTAGTCAGAATACCAACACAAGCTGAACTAGATGGTTCCTCAACCGGAATAGGTTCATTCAAATCGGTGAAACCACGAGTTCTCAGCAATTTTAAACCGAAACTAGTAGCTTCACCATTAGAACTATAATTACTATCATAGTGCATTGATAAGTTTCCATTCCTCTCACTAGAAACCTTGTAACTATTTTTTGCAGACACTCCTCGAGCTCCATCTTCTTTGTTAATATATTCCTCGGACGGACATTCAAGGTCAAATAATCTAGTCCGAACCTTGTTCGGCTGGGATTCCGACTTTCACAGTTTTTTGACTTTAAATCATTTGAGTCAAACAGCAACTGGATTTTGGTGCATTTCCTTTCAAGAGACTAAATTGAGAGTGGATTCCATTTGCACCGGATGTGTCCACAGTCATTTTCATCCGAGTTTACGTATTTATTATTATTATAATAATAATAATAATAATAATATTATTATTATTATTATTATTATTACAAATAATTCCAAGTCTGGTATAGAAAACCAGAACACCTTACAAAGCAACTCCAATTAACACAAAGATTCCTATTTACATCATCATTCTTATTAATTTTTCAATGAACAAACATAACGGGTAGTTTTATTATATGACATCCTAATATACGGCTTAAGGAAGGATGTTACTGAAAATATTAATATTTTTTTAATATTTTCGGTAAAGCGCTACCTAAAATATTATTTTTTTCTACTAGAAATGTTAATTTCGCTACCTAATTTCCGATAGAAAAAAATAACATTTTAGGTAACGCCTAATATTAACATTTTCAGTAGAAAAAAAAATAATGTTTTAGATAACGTTTTACCGAAAACATGAAAAAAAATATTAATATTTTCTGTAACGCATTTCCGAAAATATTAACAACAAAACAGATTCCATATTTTCCGAGCAAACCAACATTAAAAGAATAAGTGGTTTCTGGTTTCTAAATAAAGATTTTTTGTCCCATTTGAATGTTTTTATTCTTTAATTCTTTGATGGCAAAGAAGTTGGCTTAAAAATTGATTTAAGTTTTTGGAAATTCTTAACATGTATGTATAAAATAGATCATATATTTTGTAATAATTTAATAAAATAACAGTTTGGAAAGATATTCCCGCCCCTCAATTCTCTCTTTTTTTTCTTTCAATCCTTAAGTCAACTAAATAATGACACAATATGACCTTTTTACATGTCCATATAACATCATTATTTTAATTCAATTGTATATACTTGTCGACACGTATTTTTATCCGATCATGCGAAATTTACATGTTACTTTATGTGTTGTTATTTTTATTATATAGTGTGTATGTATTATATGTATGCATATTATATATTATAATTTAACTACTAATTTGTTATTTATTGTTACAGGCCCAAAGACCAAATGCAAACAAGTCCCAATGGCCACATCACCCAGCTTCCATATTTTCTCACAAGCACCGCAACCAACGTGCAAGGGGAACCGCCCGTCGAGTTCCACGGTCAACCCGAACGCCTCTCGCCTCACGTCTCCCTCCACGTCACCGGAATCCTCGCCAACAACCAACAAATCACCAGCAAAGCAAGAATTTCAGTCCTAACGGAGTCTAAAACCGGATTAGCACTATAATACACATGCAAGGAGGAGAAAGGGGGAACTGAACTGGGAGAAATGGAATTTTTTTGGGTTTAAACCAAATCCTATGGTACCTTTCTTATCCTCGTGGTTAACAACATCGGCCAGAAATTGAAGGAAGCAAAACCAAATTGTCCATCCCTTCCTCTCTGTGTATTGATTACACCAACCCAGACCATATCGTACGCCGCAGTTCCCCTTCTCCTGCCACCGTCTCTTCCCTTTCCAGGAGTATTTCGAGCAGCTTATTTCGAAACACCGATGCCAAGGTATCAAAGTGAACAAAACGGCGAATTTGGAAAAGAGAAACATGGAGGCATCAAAGACGATTCAACATGAAATTGGAGAGTCCAGAATAATGCTTTCCGATTTGGTCTCCACGGCATAAAGAGCGACCTCGTCGGATCTCACCATCTCCAATCTGTTTGTGAATCTGCAAAGAAAACCGAGGAGGTGATGAAGAGGAAAGGCCTGACCAATCTTTATGGAATAACATTCTCACTTAAAATGGATCTCGAGGCAATCCTCTCACGGTTCCAGGCATTATTATTTACAATTTTTTTTTTTTTTTTAGTCGTCCTTCCCTTTGTAACTGCAGCATCAACTTTTATTGTTTGTGCTTTTTATTCTTAACTTCTGTTTAAAGCAATGCCCATGTGACATAGGACTTGGGTAAATTCTCTCCAAGGTCCTCCAACTATAATGGGTAAAACCCTCTCAAGGTCCTCTGATTTTGACACATCCTTACTTTATTCCTTGTTTCTAGTTTTATACTTAGTTCTGATTTTCATTATTTAGTCTCTAATATGTTTTCATTCATTACTTACAGGTTACGTTCGTTTCTCTTTGGACCTTATTTTTTCCTTCTTTTATTTTGTTTTTACTAACCTTTATTTGTTTTATTTCAGGTTCCCTATAATCAACACTTTTAATATATAATTTTGTATATTTTTATTTATTTTATTATTATTTATTTTATTTCGTTTTCTTTCTTAACTCTAATTTTATTTTTTAGGGAATCCAATTCAATTTCAAACGATTGTCAAAGGTAAATAATTCAAATCGAGTTTTTAAATTTTAATTTTAATTTTAATTTTTTCGCAATTAAAGACAACCGACAAATTAATTGGTACCGAAAGGGCGGTTCAAGGGTGCTAATCCTTCCTTGACCGTAACAGACTCCCGAACCCAACACATTTCTGGTAAAACACAGATCTGGTAAGATGGTGTCCGACCCACCTAAATTCGTTTTAAAGTGGTCGGTGGCGACTCCAACCCAATCAATTCAAGTCGAAGCCCAATTTTGGGACCTAACCGAAAGACGGTTCCGACAGCTTGGCGACTCCGCTGGGGACCGATAAGTGAGTCAGGCCAAAATTAATTTTCGATTGTCTTTTTATGCGAAAATTTTAATTTTAAATTTAAATTTATTTATTCGATTCAAATTATTTATCTTTGATAATTTTTCAAATAAATAGTTGTACTGACATTTTGTTCAATGATTTCAGATTTTTGAAAAGTTCATATCTCTGGCTCTATACCCGAGCCCCGAACCCTATTTAAGTGGGGGTGAAAGCGACGCCTTCGTGTGAATTTATTCTCCGTATGGGCCTAGCAAGTAACCTTCGGGATTCATATACCTTATGCCTTCGTGTGAATTTATTCTCCGTATGGGCATAAGGGAATGTATCCTCTCGAGTTTAACTTAGTCCATACAAGCCTGTGATGGGTTTAGGACTAAGGGTCTGGTAAGCCCAAGGGGGCACCGGAAAGGATAACCCGGGTACCTTTTTTTTAGAACCTAAACTGGTAGATTACAAGGAGTTAGAGCCCACCCCAAAACCTCATTCCAAACCCTAGGATGCCAGAATTATTTCCTGCTTTACTTTCTGTTCAAAGCATGCGAACTAGAAAAATATGGTTAGGATTTGTGTGGAATTAGCATGCGGGATAGAGATCATGTCCGGGTAGAAATTAAAGCATGCGGGGTAGATATCATGTGGGGTAGGACTTTTCATTTTCATTTTTTTATTTATCCTTATCTCACTAACTTTTTTCTCCTTTCATTTTTGTTCTTTTGCATTGTTTATCATTTGCATCATTAAAACGAGGTGTTGATCCACCAAAACGTTTGTTAAACATGAATAATCTGCATTAATGGACAAAGGGTTGTAATACAAGAGATGAAAATGCAGAGGACAATCTACAAGGCGACTATGTGGTCCCCACAATTAAAGAGTAGATCACTCTGGTGCATTATAAAAGACTCAGGATGAACCGGGTACACCAAGTAATGAAATCTATCTTTAAAGAATTGACTGCCAAAGGTTGCAGAGCAAAATGAGGAAAGGTTACAGACCCGAACGCTCCTTTCAAAACTACGAGAACAAGACGACGAAACCCTAGCTGAGCTGAATGTCATTGCTGACGAATTCAAGAAGAAACTTCGATAGAGGGCTCCAATGGTGTTGCTGCTAGGGAACAGACTCGGTAGAGAGTGGTAGCCGGAGGTGCAGTCCTTCGAGACTTTTTGGGGCAAACAACTCGTCATCTGCATAAGTCAGAGCGGTTCGACAGGTTATCCAACCAGTGACAGACGAACGCAGAAGACTAGTCAACATGTCAGAAGTTGTCAGAATATTCTTGTCTCTTAAAGATAAACACTTTTGTCCCCAATAAGGATTATTTTTAATAACATACACATTTTTGGATCAATGCCTCGAACATTGCATGCATCATGCATTCCTGCATATTTCGCATTATTTTTCTTTTTTTATTACATTCACATGTCTCATAAAAAATGAGAACATTTCGATCCTATGACATATAAGGAGCTTTACCAACAGTTGTTTGACGCACATGTGATGTCACCATATCTAGAGAAATCCATGAAGCCCCTGTACCCTAGGTAGTATGATGAGAACGTTCATTGTGAATATCATAGCGGTGTCCCAGGGCGCACTATCAAGAACTACTCCACATTCAAGAAAGTCGTACAGAAATGTGTAACCATAACTGGATCGACTTCAACAACTTGGGGGCATCCAAGTGAGGAAGATCATTTCATCATT